CAATGTTGGGGAAGTTCACCTTGTGAAAGACAAAAACCCCTTAGTGCCTGGGGACTGCAGCAGCTCAGGGAGGAAGAGGATTTACACAGCATGGGGACCAAGGAGAGGCAGAGGAGGATGGGAAAATGATACAGTTCATTTAAAAAGAAAAATTAAGGAAGTCAGCTGGTGTCAGGGTAAAATAGATGCAATCAGTAATCAAAGCAGAGCATGAATAGCAATTGGAATTGCACATCTAAACACCCAAAGTTGAACCTGACTCCTGCAATCTATGCTGACTGATCCTGATTCAGTACAGAGCCTTTTCCCAGCCATGTCCCTGCTGAGATCCACCACAGGGGTCTCTTCTACATATTGCTTGCAATGAAGTAAAACACTGACTTCTGAACCATAGTTATTAAAAATCCCCAAATTACTACCCTGAGGGAAAGCAGAGCAAAATTGCCAGAAATACCAGAAACACAGATTACTAAATAACCCAAAGACCACAAGGAAAGAAAAGCTCTCTACAATGAATGGAGATGTATCCCCTAAAGCTTCCTCAGCTGGAGATTTCTCTACCACCAGAAGTTTGACAACCTTGTTTCATTTAAAAATATAGAAAATGCATTTAGGACCATATTGTAGAAAATAGTCCATAGCCTCACCAATCTTCCCAGGGGCAGGAGCTGTGTACAAGGGGTTGAAAAGAAAAATATGTCTTTGCTCAGTCTGACCTGCAATTTTTTCACATGCAAAGGTAGAGGTCCTGGGGAGAGGAAAGCCAGAAGAAACACAGTGTATGTTTCCAGGGCTGGAGAGATGTGGGTCAAATCCCTGTTCTGTTTTCTCATTTTCCCTTTGCTGTGACTGATACAAAAACATTACCCTTTCTCAATCTGATGTTCTCAGGATAAATGCACTAATAAATTCAGGTGTGCAGTTGCTGCCTTGTAGGTAGTTCCTTGTTATAGTAGCCTCCTTGAGCCAGGTCTCATAAGCTCTTGGAGGCCTATAACACACCCAAGATAGCTCAGCTACCCTTGGAGGCATAAAAACCAGCAGGATGGCTTCATTTGCAGTGTTGGAAACAAAAAGGTTTAATAAAAGGCAAAATAACAGAGAAAAACTGAGCCAGGTGCAGGAGGTCCTTGCTCCTGGTATAACACCTTACAAAAGTAATTAGTTTCTTTGTTCTCTTCTTCTCTTCTAGTAAATTGCCCAGGCAGGACTTTTTTGCTCCAGTCCAATTAGCTATCCTTAAGTTTTAGGTGAAGTCCTCTAGGCCTATGAGGTGGCTTTTTCACCGAATCGAGGAGAGAAACTTCTGAGCTTCTTTCCTTTTAGAGGGGACAAAGGAAAGTTTTGTCACTCTGTCAACAGGGGGCACAGTCCTATAGTTCCTTATCATTATGTGTCTATTTCACCTTTAAATGCTGCATGAGTCAAAATCCTCCAAACATCGAAGTTAGGATTCTGTAAAATACAGCCTGGCTAATGTAGGATTCTGAGGAACATTGTAATGCTCTGAGGGCCTCAAAAGAGCCCTTATATATAACAATACTTGCTTCAGAGCAAGCACAGAGGTTGCTCCCAAAGAATTAGCCTTAGATACTAAGCCCAGTGCTTTCAGAGCTAAGAGCTCAGGAATGTAGTATCATCATCCATGCCATGTATGGGGATTTGTGTTAGCTTTGCCAGTAGCTACAGCCATCAGAAACAGCAATAAGCCAGAATAAACCATTTTGCCTGTGTAATCATCTACACCCTGATCTCCTTGCATCTCTGCTGGCTTCCTAATCCTTTGCTGCACATGGGCCTTGCAGAAAACCATTTTCTGCAGGAGAGAACAAGGTCACAGGGTTACCTATGGGTGGATCCTCACAGATCAATTGGTGTTTCTTAATGAAGTTAATCTGAATAACCTGAGCATTCATCATATTTTCTTAAGTATAGGATCAGAGGATCATGCATCCAGTGCTCTTTCACCTCTGATTCTCCCACTCCACTATGCTCTCGTGAGACTCCGCCTAGACTGGAGTGCTGCATCGAGGTCTGGGGCTCCCAGCACAAGAAAGATGGACCTGTCCATCTTGGAATGAGTCCATAGGAAGCCACTAAGTTGATCACAGGGCTCAAAACCTTTTTCTATGAAGGCTCAGAGAGCTGAGGCTGTTCAGCCTGGAGGAGAAGAAGCACTGGGATAACATTATAGTACCTTCCAGTACCTAGAGGGGGCCTGGATGGGGCTCTAAGTAATCTGCTCTAGTGGAAGGTGTCCTGGCCCATTCCAGTGGAGTTTGGAGCTAAATGATCTTTAAGGTCCCTTCCAACCCAAACCATCCTATGATTCTACTATTCTTATCACTGCCCAGCTGGGCACAGTACCTTAGAACTGGTAAAAGAGGCTTAAAGCAATGATACATATATGTTTCTTTTCACATGTCCCAAACACATTAAAAAATTAATTTTTGTGAAGGTCAGAGATGGGATTGGTATCTTTGAAAACAGAAATAAATTTGGTGCTATATTGACCCATCGTGCTGAATGTACCTGAAGTGGAGGGAGTTGCTGCCAGCATAGAAGTTGCTTCAAGAGCTTGGAAATGACCCTGGGAGGTTATAAATCTGGAAAGACTTTCTGTGTCTAACCTAAGAAAAATCATAAAGGTTTAGTTCCTCCTTTTTAAAAATTAAGAACCTGTCCTCCTTGAGCCTGAAATTTGTTTCTGTTGGAAATAGGCTGGGTGTGATGAACGCTGCATGAACACTGCATGAATTTTGGGTCACCCCAAACTGCAGGACAGTCCTGCTTGTGCAGGATTACAAGCATGTAAACTGCAAGGGGGCATGGCTCTTCTATGGCAGGGAGCTACTCAGGGGAGCTGAGATCACTGGAGTAGGTTTCATTTTGGAAACCTTTTGATTAAGACTCAAAGGCAAACCAACAAAAAGGCTCCTCCTTCTCAGGCAGGGAGAAAGGTTTGTAGTAATTATCTTGTAGGGAGGTTTGATTGTAATAGACCCTTAGGAAACCTGTGAAACTTAGTAACTGGATTCTACCCATCTTAAAAGACTCGAAGAAATGGCTGATTTGCAGGAAAGAAAGTTGAGTGAAAAAATGCTAACAGCTGGGATTAGAACAGAGAAGCCATGGAACAGGATTGGTTATCAAATCCCCTTTGCTGGAAGTTTCTAAGAACAGAGGAAGTGGTTGGTGAGTGTAAGGGGAACTGATAGAACTTCGGTGTGGAAACAATTACCAAGGAGCCTCCCAGCCACACCTGTGAATGGCACTACTGCTCAGGGGTGATGCTGGCAGCACTGCAGTGGAGAGGCAAGGAATTCAGAGGAGAGACAAGGTGAGACAGCCAGATGGCCATGGCAGGAGCCATGCCCTGTGTGGTCCCTCACCTCTGTGACTGGACTGAGGAATCCCAGCTATGGGACACCAGCCCCAGCAGCCTTGCCTGTCCCTAATCCTGCTGCTCACCTCCTGAAGCACAAGTGTTCGTGGCTCCTATTAATTTCTCTTTTTGTGTCTTAGAGGTTGTTACAAATGTTGATCAAAGTTTCCTTCTTTGAGTTAATGATCTGAAAAATCAAAAAACATGCCAAGTTTGGAATTAGTGTGGGAGTAACTCAATGACTAAAAAAAAGTTTGGTGAGTTGACCTTCATGTATTATAGTACACTGTTATTTTGTGATCTACATTTAGATTTTTTCCACTTAAATCACTGTGCATTCACAAATTCCAATAAACATTTTGAAACACTCTATAAATACAATTCATTCTTGTCTTGTAAATGTCTCTGAACTACACCCGTCACCAGGAAAGTGGTTTCCCTAGCAACTAATATAAAAACTAGGGGGGGGAAAACAGCTAAGACTGAACCTATCTGATGAACATGTGATACATCCCATTCTGAGTTACTGTGAAGTTTTTATTGCCACTTGTTTTGTAATACTGTCCTCCCAGACAATGTGGCCCCATACATTGTACATGACATCCCTCAGCTCTTTCTTGCAGAGGTGGCAGCAGGGCTGTGTGTCAGTGCCTGTCTCTGCAGGGGAGGTTGGTGGTCCCTGAAACCCGGTTCAGAGAGCAGCAGAGGCCAGTCATGCAGCAAAGCCATCAGATGTCAGTAATGGGAAAACATAAAGGAATCTTTGCCAAAGGTGTCTGAGCTATTAAGTTCAGGCAAGAAAATTCCTATTTGGCACTTTAGTTTTTTAAACAAATGTAGAGAACTGATGTGTCCTGCTGAAATACAGTTTATGGTAGTGGTCAGCAAAGGGGATGATGTATGGAATGGATGCTGAAGGGTTCTTTACAGTCTGCAATGAAAGAAATGAAAAGTGCCTGGAAAAAGCAGCAAGGCACCTTGAATATATTCATACATGAAAGTGGGTCCAGCCCTGCAGACAAGAATTTAGGGCAGTTGGTATATTGGACACGATCTGGCAATGTGCATATGCAGCTCAGAAGCCCAAACATATCCTGGGCTGCTTCAAAAGAAATGTGGCCACAGGTGGAGGAGGAGGATTCTCCCCACCTACTCCATTCTCCTGAGATCCCATATGAAGTCCTGCATCCAAGGCTGGTGCAGTGCAGGGACTTAGGTCTGAAGAGGGACTGCCTGAAGAAGCTGGAAGAATGCAGAGGGTTGCACATGATAGTTGTGGTCCTTGAGATCATCCATCCACACCTTCCACAGTCCCACAGGCTTGAACAAGCTGTGTATCGAGGAGGGTTGAAATACTACCAAACCAGAATGGCAGCGAGGCACTCTGTAAGAGGAGCTGATGGCTTTTATTAGATCCATGAAACAGTGGTGGGAAATAAGACTGTTCAATAAAAAGGAACAAAGACAAGCCTTCAGGTATGAAAGCCCCTTCGGGGGCCTGAAAGAGGAGCTAAAGTGAGACCTGTTGTGGTAGCACTTTGACATCTGTGTTGCCACAGGAGTGGAGAATTGGACCCATTGCCAAAGGAGGATCGAGCAGGGACATTGAACCCAGTCACCATAACGGGTACAGGTTAAGAAACATGTCGTTGTTGCAGTAGTTGAGACAGACTTGGTGCCCTCCCCCACCCCTGTGCCCTTCGCTTCCCCGTGGAGGCAGCGGGGGCTGTGGGTGAGGCCGTGCCCCCCTCGCCATGGGGCAGGGCCCTGCCTGAGGTGCGGCGGGGGGCGGCACACAGGGGCAGCCGCCGCCGTAGGCCAGCTGGGATTCCGTCCCACAGGGTCCATCTCCCAAAGGGCCCACGTCAGAGCTGAAGGGGCCATGGCCACCCTCTGCCATGGGCAGGACGTGCTGGGTGCTGAGGTGGGTGCACTGCTGGGGAGAAGGGGCTGTGCTGGGCACGGCAGGGACACTGCTCAGCCTCTGGGCTCTGGGGGTGCTTTGGCTCCAGGTGGGTGTCTCTCTGGAGGCCCCATCCTCCCCAGCTCTCCTCAGGAATGGAAGCTGCCCAGAGGAGCTGCTCAGCGTTGGCTCCTGGGAGCTTTTGCTTAAATGTCCCCTGAAATTAGCAGGTGGCATGTGAGCATCCGGGTTGGAAAGAAGCAAAGGCAAAGGCTCCTGTGTCGGCACTGCACCTGTCAGAGACTTGGGAAAGCAAAGCATGGGTTAGTAAAACAAGGTGTGGTGTAGCACCTCTCCTCTCTGAGCTGCTTACAAAGGCACTCAACTAACACGATGGTTGGGTTTGATGGCCTTAGATGTCTCTTCCAACCTTGACCATCCTGTGGTTCTGTGAACACAGGTAACAAAGCAGAGGGCACAGCAGAGCCTCTCCCACCATAGCGGGTGTGCCCATGGGCTGTGGGGGCAAACTGAACAGCTCCCAGCCCTTGGCTCTGCTTTTGTTTCACCAGTTTTTGCCCAAAGCCTGTTTTACACTGAAAGCATTGTTTAGACCTTTGGGTCCAGTGCCAGCATATACTAAAAAAGGACCTACAAATGAAATTATGCTAATATATTTGACACCACAGATTTCTTTTTCTGTGCAGATTGGAAAAGCTAAGTATGATTTTTTTTATCCTGATTGTTCTGAAGTGATCTTTTCACTACAAAAATATTCTTCAGCTTTACTAGACCCTATTTCTAACGAATAAATTTTCCTATCTTTACATTTTTTTTACCCCACAAACAGAAATTTCATTCAGGTAGGGATCAGCACACAATAATTATTCTTCTGGGTCTTCTGTTCTGGATATTTCACAACTTCTTTAATTGCTCCAATTATTGGATTATAATTATGCAAACTTTAATTCCTTTCAGAACATTCATTTCTAATGAGTGCTTGGAGGTCTGTCTTCTTTATAATTTTGCTTTTTCATCCATTTAATTATAGTGGTTTTGCAGATTGCTGGAGCAGCAAAGTGCCTTTCAGTTGTTCTCCACTCACCATGAGAAAAAATTCCAACAATCTGGTGTAAGACCCAGCCCACCTGCAGCTACAGACCTGCCACAGATGCCATAGAGAGACCATCCTATAAATCACTTGCTCTATTTTGGGCTCATACCTTTTTCTGAAGTTCTCCTCCCTGATTTCTTGTGAGCACATTAAAACTGACTCTTTTCAGAATACGTTTTCCAGATTGAACACATTAAAACTGAATCTTTTCAGATTATATTTTTGCAGATTGAGCAACATAGGTTCTGTGTGACAAATCAGACTCCTGAGTTAGTTGTACCACAGCTAGTTTGGCAAAACATGAATATGATGGGTTATTCCCAAGGAAAACCTGCTGGAGAGCCATGAACTGGAAAACCAACAAGGATAAATGGTTTAGGTCTGACTGTACAGAGTCAGAACAGCTGAAAAGCAGGCTCTACTATTATACATTTGTGACATCTTTAGTCTGTTTCTAATCACACACAATTGAAAGTGAAAGCCTCAGGAAGATGTTTGAGAAGGGAAAGATGAAGGCATGTCTACAGGAAACTTGACCTAAGCAAGTAGGCTGACCAGTAGGCTCAGCTATAAAAGAAAGAAAGCCACATGGCTCAGTCATATTTCCTAGGTGGAAACTATTTCAGTGTTCATGGAGACAGAACTAAACCAGTCATAGGAAAAGCATTGTTTTTGTATTTGTTAGACAATTAGACAGATTAGCTGGTTTTTCATATGCTTTTGTTCCCAGGCACTTGTGTCAAAAGGTTCTGGGTTTTAGTGTCCTCCTGAGTATTTCCAGTAGAAATAGCTGCAGCTTCTACATTCACATTCTATTCAAATGGGTTTAACTTCCTGTGTGCATATTTTATCTGCTTCTTGGGTTCCCAGATCCCCTTGTCCACTCAAGAAATCTGTCCCCACCCAGAGCAATCATCTCCTCTGTCTGTGGCTGAAAGGGCATGGATTACTATCTCTAATACCAGGCTGGGGGAATGCACCCCCCCAACATATCAAAACACACACTGCATGTGAATACTGGTGATGACAACTGAGTTTAACACAGCCTTTGCAGGAAAGTCACTGGGATTCCCTCCATCAGTCATGCAGCAGTCCCAAGGATCTCTGGAGATGCTTTCACAAATGTTTCCACACCCATCAGAGTAGATGTTCTAACATCAATGCTTCACAAAGTCCTTCAAAGCACTCTTCTGCCTTCAAACCAGGCAAACCAGGTACAGGTTATGCACCTTCCCCCTTTCTCGCTGAAACTCAAGGGGAACAAGCAGAGGTGGAGCATGCCTTCACCTTTCTCAGTAGTGCCAAGAAATAGGACAAGAGGCAATGGGCAGAAACTTATGCACAGGAAGCTCCACATGAATGGTGATGAAACTTAGCCTGCCCTGCAGCCCTGCTTTGTTTACCAGTGTAGATGCAATCTCCTGATGCCACCAGGTGCAAATTTCCTCTGGAGAGGAGCTGCTGGCAGTGGATGACAGCACTAAGGAGAGCAGGATGCTCAGGACAGCCCTGGTCCTTCTTGGCCTGATCAGGGGCATGCAGAATGTGGAGATGTAAAGCCTGCTCCCACCCAGACCCAAAGCCCAGATAGCCTCCACCATGCCTTGAACCACAGGTTGCTTGACCAAAATTTCATTGACCAATAGCAAGAGTTACCTCAATCTCCTGGATTCTTTTTAGTCTTAGAGAAGATGAAGAAAAAGCTGTCTTTGCTTTTTGAATTGATCTTCTTGCTTCTGCTTCTAGTTTTGTTTCTGGACGTGGGTGGTCGTGAGCTCCTTTGCACTTTAGAAAGTAATTATGGTACATTAAAGGTAGAAGCAATCTTGTTAATAATCTTAAGGGAACAGAATTTATACCACAGGCCAAAATCACATATTGTGGCCTAATTTAATGCTCTGTATTTAATAGGATTTAGTTACTGTAAGCTCAAATAATAAGCATATCCCAGATAATGTGGGACGGGTAGGGTAGAAACCCTTTGAAATAATAAAATCAGTGCACCACATTTATTTGTAGAAGACAGTTCCCCCAACAGAGCCCCAGCTGAACTCCCTGCAGTCACTTTAATTCTTCTTACAGTTTAGACATATTTACATGAACATTAATTTTCATTAGCTTCCACAGAGAATTAATTTTATTTAGCCTGCACATAAGTGAAAGAGTGGAAAGCAGTCAAGTGGTAACGTTACTAAACCGGGACTACAGCTTCCAGAAATAGTGCCCATTATTTAAACACTTGCATACGCTGTGTTCCAGATATAAGTTACATATAATACATAGATGGCATTTTCCATAGACAGTCCCTTGGGTACAACCATTTCCTCTTCCAAGATTCCCTCATGATTATGCATAGTGCCTTGGATAACGAGAAGACATAATATGGTATTTCTGAGGATTTGCTGGTTCCTATGTACCTGAGGCAAAACACTTCAAAATCAACAAGTTTTCACAGAAGCCTAAATAAAAAATACACTGTGCTGTAAAATCATAGTAGCATAGGCTAATTTAGGCTGGAAGGGCCCTCTAGCTCAACCTCCTGCACAGGCAGGACTAACTTCAGAGTTAGATCAGGTTGCTTAGGACCTTGTGAAATTTTTTTCTCCTTACAGTCATTTGACTTTGTCATATTCAATAACCCCTATATGTTGGAACAAAAAAAATTTGCAAAATAAAACTTAAAATACCAGTCTTTAAAATTAACGTGCATAATGTTAAGTAATTTTATACCAACCTGGAAAAATATGAATTGGCCTTCATGCCTCCAGAAGTTGGTAACTGGGTAACCACCATGGCCTCGGCAGGAAAGGAGCTGGAGTGGTCCATTGCAGTTTGGACAGCATTTCCCTGGAGCAAGGGTAGGGGGAAGCATTTTCTATACAACACCAGTTAGATGAATCCCATGTGATACAATGGTTCATTGGTGGCAGATTGCCATTTCTGGTTTGGTGCTCAGAAATTACACTGAGAGAAACTATGTGAAAAACTTCCAAACATAAGCAAAAATCAATATAAACAAACTAATCATTGGAAGGGATTTTATTCTTTATTCTGTCCGTTATTAAATATAACCTTCCAAAATTATTTCTATTACAATATTATTACAATCTTATCGTTTATTATCATGGTCAGTTTTAGTTTTTCTCTTCTCAGTGTTTGGAATGTCATATGTGTTTCTAGAGAACATTGTTCTGGCCTCAGTGAGCACCTGAATAATACCTTTCTTAGCTAAAATGTACATCAGATCCAGAAATCAGTATGTGCTAACTCTACTGAGCAATCACATTGTTTGGAATGGTCTTGTTAAAAATGTGTGTGCAGCTCATGTTCTCTGTTTGCATTGTCTGGCTCCAGTGACGTGACTGTGGGGCCTATTTTCCAGTCATCACAGTTTATGAGCAACTTCTTTCCTGCAAGACTTGCCTCCTGGGCAAGTGCAATAATGAAGCCAGCACTCTGGTGGGCAGGAACAGCAGGGCAGTGCAGGAACTGCCTGCACTGTGCAGCTTTCTCAGTACCCTCACTAATGGGCCTGAGAAGGCTGGGACCAATCCCTAACCAGCAAAAATAGAGATTTAAAAATGTTTAGGGGAAAAAAAAAGAAAATAAGCAGATGACTACGCTCCAACAATAAGAAGTGTAAAATGCATTGTTCCAAATCAAGAGTTGCATTGGATTATAAAGAATGACAGAAGGAAGGCTGGGTAATCCAAAGGGTATCCTATACTTTGATTTCTCTGATGTGTTCACTTATGAGCTGCCATACAATGAACTGCCATGTTTGTACTCACTCTGTTGTTTTTGCCTGGCTTTATCACATATTGCTGGTCTCAGGTAGATCTTCCTCCCATCCAAGGTAGAGCAGTTGTTACCACAAACCACCACCCCAAGGCAGGACTTTTTCAAGATGCGAGAGTTGTGGTTGTTGGTGTTTCTCATTGCCCAGCTGCTGTGGTGCCTCTGAGCATTTTTATCCTCTGAGCTATAGATATGTTTTACATAGGAATCTGGCCATTCTTGAAACCAGTCAGTCTGTCTCACATGCTGTGAAAACAGAAAAGCAAGCCACATTTTAGGCTGGGGAAGACAAAAGCTTGTCCAGGAGCTGAGCAGAGTTGGACCCCTGCTGGGTTTCCTGTAGCCTAGGTGACTCCAGCACCCCAGCCAGTGATGCTGGTTGTCAGGAGGGAGCAGTGGAGATAAGGCAGGAAAAACACAGATCTTTGTGGCTCCCCGCAGGCCCCAGAGCATTGGGAAGGCCTGGCCAGGAGCTTGTTCTCATTCACCCAACTAAGCAACTAAAAAGAATAAAAAACCCAAAAAACCCACCCAGAACAAACACCATGCCTCAAGGACAACAGAGTGAGGAGCAATAAAAATAAAACTGGGAAAAAAACTCCAAAGACCCAAATCAAATGTGATGTAATGTGATCAAACACCATCACAAATGTGATGTGATGTACACATCACATCAGTGTACATCAGTGGGTACAGTCAATATAGTAAAATGCAGAAAGCTGTAAAGCATCTACCATACCTGATGATGATTTTGAGGGAAAAGTTCTTATAACGGATACAAAAGCTTAGTAGAAATTTCCTTTGAATTGCTAATCCCAGAACTGAGAGCCATGACAGCTCTCAGTAAGAACATCAACCAAGAGAAAAACTCCCATGCTCCCCTGGTAGCCACTGGATAGTGTAGGGAAGGGTGTCCATGATGCCTCTAGACTGAAGTGCAGGTGAAGGTGACCTTGGGCTGAAGGGCAGGGAAGGGGATATTCTGGAACATGGAGGCTTTGAGCAAACAACACTGTTATAGTAGGGAGGAGGCTGGGATCCAGTAAGAAGGCAGGGCTGGGAGCTCAAAGGCAGAGCTGGATGCTGAAGCACTGCAGCTGGAGGAATCTGGCAGAAATATGCAGAGCTGAGGGACAGGGAGGTGATATTGGTGTGCAGGGTGTGTGGGCCTTCACTGCAGAGCATGGTTGAAACTTTTAGCTAAGAGAACTAGAAAAGGACAGAGGGAGGGGAAGATCACTCTTGTGTCTCCCAGCTAATCTCTGCAAACATGAAGCAAGGCTTCCCTAGGTGCTCGTGAAAAGACTTGTCTCCATCTGAGCTCTGGAGCTGGAGCCCAGTCTGCAAAGAGACTGAACACCCACAGTAGCAAGGCAGTGGTGGGTGCTGTGCTCCCTTCTCAAAAACACTATCCAGGGCAAAAAGCAAATCCTGGACAGCTCTAATTAAGTGCCCACAGCAGGAGGCATCTTTTTTTCCTCTGCTTTCTCTGCACCTAATCCACCAGTGAAAACAATGCCTTTGCAACGTTGCTATTTTTCATGCATCAACAGCTCTTTCAATAATACATTTAAGGAGAAATGCATGGAAATGTCAATATTTTCTCAATATTTTCTAGCAAAACTCCCCCATACCTCGAGGTGACAAAGAGAATAAAGGCAATGAGTCATAGATGACTGAGAAAGCATTTAAGATCAGTGGTGGAGATGACTGGTCAGAACTAAATAAATTTCTATGACACAGGCACGTACCTGGGGAAGTTTGATGTCATTGATATCCCAACTCGTCATTTCTCCATGTTGGGAAGCAGAGTCCTCCTGCTCCATAACAGAATCATCTGCACCTTTCAGCATTTTTGAATTCCTTCCCAAAGTCAGCAAGAAAGTTGCTCCTGGCTGCTTTTGAAGTTGCCTGGCTGTCAGCAGTCTCAAGCAGTTTACAACCAGGAAGCTGTTTCCTGAAGCTAAATGATAGAGAGGCTGCTCATTAAAGATAAAAATCAGTGTTCTTCTGCCAGAAAAACTTGTTCCATTAAAAGTTTTGCAAGCCAGCAAGGCAGTGGAAAATATAGCTTAGAGATAGCCTGTGATGTTACAGAGACATCATTAGCAGCGAGCAAATCGTGCTTGTGGCATCTGATTTGCTTGCTCAATCTCCTCTCATGCCAGGTTTATAGCCATGTAACTCTGCTCACAGGCTCTTCATACATCTGATCCAACCCTGGCTCTGTTCTCCCAGAGCCAAACTGACTGAACAGCTCAGCAGCTGTTGAGGGGTCTTTGAGTTGCTCCTTACCTGTTACATATTTCTCACTCTGCATGTGACAAAGGTGGCAAAAGAGGGGTCTGCTTTACCACTTCAGAAGAAATGGTGCTCCACCATTTCAAATATTGCTGGTATCTCTGAGAGCTTACCAGTTGCACCAGGGAAGTATAGAAAAGGAGGTTGGGCTTATCTGCATTTTCCTATTTCAATGGCAGACTGAAAAAAAAACCCCACCAAAGTATGTTTGTTAAAACCAACAGGTTTTCCCTGAAATTTTTAAAGTATGTGGCTGCCCTACTATGAATTTCAGTACCAGCCAAGCTTAATAAAATATTGTGTTGGTTTTGTCTGGGGCAGAGTTAATTTTCTTCACAGTGGCTGATATAGGGCAGTTTTGGATTTGTTCTGAACACAGGGTTGATAATGTAGAGATGTTTTTGAGTTTGATCCTCAAGGATCCCATGCATGAAAAACTTTGTTTCCTTTGCTAAAGAGAGAAAAGGTGAATCAGTTCTCTCTTTCTGGAAACTGGGAAGTTTCCGTGTTTTCAGGAAGGTCACTACAGTTATGCCAATTAAGGATTTATTAAAGACTACTGGGTAGTGAGAGAAGTAAAATCTACCTGATAGTCTAGTACACAGACTTTCAAAAGGATAATTTATTTCATTATTATTTCTGGCTCTGCATATATATATGACCCTCAGAAAGTGAATTGGCCTCTATGCCCTTAGTTTATTTATTTATAAAATACCTGTGATCTTACTTTCTCATGTTATATTATCACCTCTAAAGGAAGACTCTGGATTTTTGCAGAGCACTTGAGATGTTTGGCTGTGTGGTTCTCTGGCAGCATAGTCAGAGCACCATTGCCTCATGTTGTGGCTCAGATTGTGGGGAAAAAGAAGCAAAACATCCTCCATGGGAACAGACTCCCACAGAGGGGGCCTGGTAGTCAGCATTAAATTCAGAGATCTGAACTGAGGGCACTGTACTTGGAGGGCAACCAACAGGTTCAAATGAGATGTTAGTACAGAGGAGAAGGGAACACAGTAATCAGAAATAAAAACCTCTGTAAGAAGCATTGGGTCTCCATGTATTTTCCTACTGTGCTACAATGAAAATGGATCTAGTAAGGTCAGGACAAACAAAATATAAGCTGCATTAGAAAACTGAGTTGAATTTGCTAAACAAATCACCCTTGACTACTGTGTGCTCTAAAACACGAATTGATTTGTTACACAATTCAAAATTATAGTCTCATTGCTTTTAAAATTACTTTTCTAAATGAGATGGCTTGGAAATTGATTTTTAATTTTCTTCATTAGAGAAAATGGAATATTTCTTCTTTATGCTATATTAATAGGGCTAAAACAATAATGAAATATTACCTTAAAGATTAACAAAAGACACAGATAATTTCATCATAATGCACACAAAAAATGAAGTTCAAGAGAATCATACATATTCAACTACTTGCAGGCAAAGCCTTCCACTACTTATTTCTCTAGACTCTTGTGCTACAGCATTGCTACTAGTGTTGCTGTGATATGCCATGGAAGATGAACACTAGGGAAGACAAAGTCAAAAACATAGGAAAGGAATAATATTTGAAGTTCTGCTATTTAATTCTTATTTCTATATAACATCTGAGATGGGTTACAATACATTTAGAAAGATATTTAAGCCATATATTCTCTAACTTAACTAGCAAGGATTTGGAAAATTTCCTCTATCTTCCTTACAAGTACTTGGTGCTGACCATTTAGGAAAAGGATTATGAATTTTTAAAACAAATGATGTGTATTACCAATTTACATGAGCCTATAGGTTAAATTAATTCAATATCATCTGTGAAATCTTATTTGGAAGGACAGTCTGGCAGACCATAAGCACAGATAGATTTCAGCAGTTCTTCAGCAACCATCTACTGCAAGAGACTGAGGACTGAAAAAGCCCTGGAGCTGTAAGAGGCCTCTTGCACTCAGGCTCCTGCTCTGGAGAGGGCTGTGCAAACCCTGCAGAGCAGCCCCCGAGGAAAGCAGCTGTGCCTGCCCAGCTGCCAGCTCTGCAGTCCTGCTGGCTGCCAGCAGGAACATGGGGATGTCACCTGTCACAGGGCAGTCTCCAGGTCAGGCTCCTTCCTTGCATCATTTCACCAGCACACAAAGAGGGTTCTTAAGTCAGTGCTTCCATCAGCCTTCCTTTTGCTCTTTGGTGTCATCTTTCAGTGATGACAACCTTTAAGTGACATCAGGTGCAGTCAGTGGAGCTTTACCTGGGCTGAGTTACCTGTCCCACCAACAGCCTATGTTGCACTATCTTCCATGGCTGCCTTTGTGCCTTGCCTCAAGTTCATGATTTTCTCTGACACTGCAAGTTTCACCCTGCTGTGGGAGCTCTCCTGCTTCACTGCTGCTGTTTGCCTTTGCAAGCTTCTCGTCCCACTTCTATTACTGCAGAGTTTCATGGTGCTGCTCCACAGGAACCAAGGAATGTGCATATTTATATCAAGATGCTACTGATACTCCTTGAGGAATATTGCTCCAGACTGGTCTGACTTTTTTTCTTTTTTCAAATACATTCTGTAAAGTTAAAAATAAAAACAAGTTTATCTTCCAGTTCAGCCTTTCTGTTTGATAACTGTGGCAGCAGGATGAAGCAATACAATTATCCCCAGATGTGGAGTATAAACTCACTGCAAATAGACATGTCATTTAAAATGAGAAGACAGTTTCTGCCTGTGGAAAAATGCACTCACTGGGGATGCTGTGTATTTTCAATAAGGCAAGGAGACAAACTTTTGTTTTCAGATTGTCCTGACATATCCTCAAGTTGGCTGCCTCTATATTCAACATCATTTGAAATGCTTATGCTATCTTCACCATTCAGTATCCAAAAGTGGAAGCTTCTCCCCTGTGATCTGGGTCTTAGAAGGAAGATGGACGTATTTTAAGACAGAAATACGTTTAAATCCTTGGTTGATTTTGTTTATACTTTGTTTCTCTTTAATTCTTTTCTCAAAACTGTTATTTTAATGGCCCTTGAGATCTGTAACAGACGATGAGCTCATATTTTTATTCAGTTACCATACTTCTGAATTCTGGACTGCTCTGGATAAAAAGTCAGTTGTAGGTGGTGTAGTTCTCCTGGCTTTGCTACTTCAGTCACATTCAGTGAACAATTTTTAAAAAATGCTTTTAAAAACAAGTTTTGGTTTCCTACCTTTTCCAAACATCCTCTTTCTAGAGCACTGTCTCAGGTGACACAGTCTGCAGGCTTCTCTGGTTGTCACATCACATAACACAGACATATCTACACCACAGCTTGTAAACCAGACAGATTAGCACAGAGTTCATCTCAAAGCTCAACCATTGATTCATGTCTTGGCCTCCTTTTTCTTACATCACTCCTGCCCTCATGGGCTCAGGCTACTACTCAGGCACTCAGGGTGTCTCTGCCAGAGTGCTTGGGAGGTGCTGTGTGTTTCTGCCTGTACTGCACAGACCAAGGATGGACACATGGACCATCTACTGAGGGGATATTCAAATCCTGCTCTTGGGATGGTAATTTCTTGAACAGCTCTTACTCAACTGCTGGCAACCATCTTAGTTTTTCCTCTGTGTCAACTGAACAGTCATTTGGCTGCAATATTCTCATTTTTCATTTTCTATTTTACTTTTCTGGCTATTTCCAGAGAGATGCAGCTGGGGGCATGATTTTTCAGAGGCTCTGCCACATGAGGTTCATGTCCACACACTTGTATTGCATAGGGTAAATATTTTTGCCAGGCTTCTCAGTCAAACTGATATCCATCCACATCTGAATTAGCTTCCAAGCTGTGTTCACATGTTCTCAGCTGAGAACATAGTAGTTGAACAACTTACTATTGAACAGAATAGTATCAATACTCTGTTAGTATTTTTTTCTTTTTCTCCAGGACAGTGTTTTACTATCAAATTCTAGGAATGTGTCTTTTTCTGCCATGTGAAGAACATAGCTCCAAGTGAAAGGTTTGAGGCCTGAGCTCATTTTAATAATTGTTTGTAATGCTTGAGTATATAAAAATACATATTTCACTTTATTTCTTGATATCATGTTATTAAAGCTGTGTTCTATAAATCTTTGGCAGTGAAGTCTAGGTTTTTATTTACTTTATTGATCTCTTTAATTTTTCTGTATTAACATATCAGACACTCTGTAAAATGTGTGATGCTCTAGACATCATATTAACTTATTGGGATAAAATTAATGATAACTATTCCACAGAAGCAAAATCACCAGGGCAATATATCAGAATTAATGTTTTGATGCTGTAAAAAATGTAGGTCTGGGTAAAATTTTGGCTTAACTTGTTCATCTGTCTGACCATATAAAGTATCTGTCTTCTTTTGTGGGGTTTGTTTGTTTGTTTGTTTTTGTGAGGTTTTTTCACTAAGATCATAAATTCACATGCTTTAGCTGGAATCGCTGGTTTCTATGCATCTAAAATTTTAGTTGGAATACTTTTTGTAGGTCATGTTTAAAAATTACAATCTCTTAGTGACAGTATTATGATGCAATTTAAAAATTACCTTAGTTTATGGACATT